TCAATGTTCCCATGGACTTCAATGCGGACAACAACATGTAAGGAAGCCCAAGACATGCAGCGTGAAAACGTAAATCAGCTAGAAACATAACATCTAGCACTTACCTTTGCAAACGGTGTCCCATTACTGTATAATCATATCTTTTACTAACTGACACAGTACCAAATAGTCGGGGTTTACTAACAAAAGTCTACGTGACGAAGTTAAAAAGAACTTCGAGAGAACATATTCATATATCGACTCAGGTTTGTGGGAACACCGATCCAATTGGGTTTCCAAGATAAAAAAAGTTAGTGTGGTGGCTGAGAGTTCCGAAACGGGCGACCACCAGTCGGGCCGATGCCGACGAAGCCATAATAGCAGAGAGGGTTGACAGCGTTTGGGGGTAAGTTGATGCAGAACTGTTTCGGGCTTATTTGTCTTCCTTCAGCCAAGCATAACCCTGACCACCAGCTCGGTCGGACAAAAAAACATACGCACTCACATATGACGTAGATATATATGGGTAACCAGGCCAGATAGGAGAAAAGGCATCGTTATAATGAATGGCTCAGAATATGTAATGAAGATATAGTCCATATTGTCAGACCAGGTGAAACTCGGACACATAGACAAAGAATGCGCTTGCAGAGACAAAAGGGACCGACTGTATACATAAGCTCTATCTACGAGGCTTTATAAGCGATTTTGAACTCGTAAATCTTCAACAAACTGGTGCAAATACACCTCAACTGCAAACATCCCGGTAACCGAGAAAGTTGATGAAATATACGAAATATAACAAACTCTCTCAAGTCTAACCCGAAATTGACTTTTCATATTCCGTACTGCCTCCTATCAATCCCACTCTATACTTCCTCATCCGCGTGCGTGTTACGATGCGTTTTATGTGATTTCTCTAATCACTGATAGGTTTAACTGGACCTTGTATTCATAAAAATGTACCGGTTGGAAAGAAATTTATTTAGAACACACTTATGATAGGCAAGTAGGTTTCTGAGCACATGGGCTCGTCGCATTATCAACCTAATGCTTACTTTACTAACGTCGGCGATTCCACAGATGCTTTTTCTGGCAAATATCACGGACGCAAATAGAGTACAGTATTATTTTACTGTGGCCATAAATTCAGCTAAAATATCCACTCATAGCGTTCAAGTCTATGTTTTAAATAATTATTTTCCAAAAATGAATTATTTTCTTTTTTTATGCGCCAAGACGTATGCGCGCTTTCAAAGCTGCCAGATAATTGTTTTAGCAAAGATTGTCACCGCAGAGGAAAATCTGAATTGAAGAGCACCATTTAAAAAATACAAAGTTCGTTTAATTGTCACTCACTAGAAAATATACGCATCAGAAAGATTATCCAACACGGAATGCCTGAACAATAATCATGGTATTTTAAATAGCACCTGAATAAATGAATAATTGACCGTCCAGTCAGTGTTGGTCTATACGTGTAAGTTGATTGCAATCGGCGGCATTGCATTTTGTAAATGTCACACAGGTATCATCGGTACCATTCATACCTGTGAAAAAAATTGTCACGGCGTCAATATATTTACAGTTGCTGGGCTCAATATAAAGGTTCCTTTGCATATTTTATTTCGAAAACGTCAGATTCATAAGATATCCGACTCCAACTATCATATGTGAATAAAGTGTTCCATGTTGAAGAGGTGCTATGCAAATAGCCTACAGCAAATTAAGTGATTAGCTTTATGTTATCTTTATTCCCCGCCGACGCAGAATACTTCATTTCACACGTATGGAATCCACCGATACGGACTGGGCGAGATTTCTCAAACAATTATCTAGAATGGCTACAAGGCATACTTAATTATTAAGGGATTTGGCAAATTTGAATACTTCAATTGAAACATAGGTGCAGCAGGCCGGGGAGGCAAGTCAACCCAAGTGTGATTAAATTCAAGGCTTTCGACGTAACTTCGTAGTTCAACGAGTAAAGCGTTGGGTGTGCTAAAGCCTTCCACGTATTTCTCACATTTGGGTCAATTGAATTAGCAGATAGTTATCGGATGCCGACTATCTTGGCGCCATTCCAATTCACAGTTCCGGCCTCTTGATTCCATAATTCCTTGGTCTTACTACGATTTCACACACATGAGAAAAATATGCTTTGCCATTTATTTTGTATGCTGTGTGTATGTCAACCAGCGAAGCAATTAAACAGCCTATATAGAGGGATTCCTGCAATAGGTAGATGAGTCAAAGGACGTAAGTGCTTTATAATATGATGATATTCGGTTGCAAAAAGAATACGCCGTAATCGTAAACATCAGAAATTATGTTAGCCTGAAGAACGCTTATCGCCACTGTGCATAAATTACCATCCGTTGCACATTTGAATGTAAAAATAATCAACTGACGGGACCATCTGTCAGTACTTCAAAATGATGCAGCTTTTGAAAGATATTAAAAGCTATTGGCAGTGGATAACCAATTCTAAATTTAACGAATGTACCGCCCGTGTTTAATACAGGTAGATAATTAACAATCAGCGGCTTTCTGTCGAGGCAATGTCAAAAATTAAATATTTCGTGTCAGTGGCTAGAGCAGCTTTTTTAATTAGCATCGACAACTTTGGCTCCCCTACCGAAGGGTAACAGACGGTTCTTTTAAGAAACGCCAAAATAGGTTTTATATG